GATTAGTCATGGACACTTCTCTGTAGTATATAAGGACTTCAGATTGCGTCTCCCTCTTCAGTCTTTCCTTACTGACTGAAGAGTGAGTACTTCGTCACATCTATCTCTAACTTGTAGTTACTTACTTAACCTTTGTAGTCTTGCTTCGACTCTAGGTACAGTTGGTTACTGCAATATAGTCTTTCCTTACTGACTGAAGATCTTGCTTCGACTCTAGTCGGATCTAATCCTTGTCTTCACAGCCCCGAGTTTATCAGCTTGGACCCATTCCGAGGCCCAGGAGTGCCTGCTGGATCAGCCGACCGCCCCCGATCACCAGCGCTTGCAGGTGAGACAGACTCTCAAAGAAATGAGACCGATCGCGTCTTACGGGGAGCCCGTGAGCGATGTGGAGTTGGAGGTGGACAATATTTGACGGTGTGATGAGCTTCGGTATGGCGTCCAGGAACTACTTGCAGTTCAATCCAAGGTAAGTGTAGCGGTCTACCTGTTCACGACGATGGATGTCGTCAGACCGTATCACCCGGATAGTGATTGACCAGTCTGGGTCCTCCAGCGATGCTTCGCTCATGCTGCCTCGTAAGGACAGGAGAGCGAGAGTGCCTGATGGGAGGAAGAACCTCACTGATATTAGGAGGTATCACATACAAGGTATAATTTGCAGGCGAGCCGCAATGTCCTTGGATATGGAATCCGGATAGGGATGGTAGGCGCATAGGGGACAGCACCATGCACACGTCATGCGCGATCTCCTCGATGACCATGTAACGGAGTCTGGCCAGTGTCACTTAGTGTTCCGGGGGGGATGCGACGAGGGACAGGTCAGCGACTTCGAATGTATTCAGAAAGGGTTCGGCCACGGTACGATAATTGTCGAGATTGGGGCATGCAGCCATGAAGCTGTGGAGGGAAGTCTCGAAGTATCGCGATCTCTGTACTGCAGCGTCTGATGCTTGTGTGACGGAAAGCGATGTGAGACTATCCAGATTGCTGGCTGCAGTAGGGACGATATGAGTGATCTTCAATTCGCGCAGACGAGGCAACTTGGTGGCGTCGAAATTCCACTCGAAATCGCCGCTGCATTCGTCGGAGACAAGTGTGAGCGACGTGAGTCCTGCGCCGATTCGGTCCACAAAGGCTGCGACGATATCTGTTTGAGTGTACTCATCATACACAACCTCAAGCCTCTCCACGGACTTCATGCGGTCGACGACCAGATAGAACGCTTTTTGGACGTCCACACCCTACATATCGCGACAGTCCACGAGCAAGTCCCAACAAGCGCCACGTGCGCGTTGCAGTTGCACATCCAGGGCGCCGTTGTTAGGAGGGCGGTCGACAAGAATCAAAGACCACAGCGAGGCAAGACCCAGGGCTGCGTTGCGCCACGTCCTGCAAACCCAAATAGCACGAACCCAGTCGGCGATCAGCCCGTGTTGATGTGGAGCGCAAATGTCCTTCCATGCTTCTATGATCATAAGGATGATCTCCACAGGTAGTCGTCTTGTGAGGTCTGTTGGTAGCACTGGGACAACCAAGTCTGAGTGGATTTCAATGGGTAGCTTGTGAGTGATACACCTACCACGGGTTTGCATATTGCCTTCAGGGTGTTCTCCACCGTTTGCAATGGGAGTGATCTTATGTACTTCCGAAAGGACAGGGCATTTGGCATGCAATTAAACAGTGTACACATGGTTAGCATCCCCGGTTCGAACAGACAACCGATGTACGCGCGTGAATTGTGCGTACACCGACGTTGGTGATTGTGTCTTTGTCTGCCGCTCGAACAAGGCGTAAGGTTTCCTATCCTAGGTTCCCGGTATATGCCGATGGAAGCCACCAGGAAACGGTCCGAGCCTCATTTCCGCTTCCCTCGTGGTTCGGGTCACTGTGGCGAGGGCAGCTGCGGTAAGTTTCCTTCCGACCCCCAGACTACGTATGCACTGCTGGTAAGTGCCATCCGTCCAAGATTGTTTTGGATATTGCTCACAAACTCAGCGATTAAAAGGCAAAATGTATTGCAGATGGCAGCTCCTAGAGAAGGTCTCACGCGACATGATCCCCTTCTTTTCCCGCTCCCAGTACCCGCTGAAGACATGCGCAGACATTCAGTTATATTCGGGGGACACCGCAGAGGACCCGGCCTACTACTCTCTGGCTGAGCGGGAGCTGCGACATTGCGCTCCGGAGAACAGTGCGCCCCTCAACCAACTCACAAGGGTAGCACTTGGAATGGGGCGGATGAAGATTTCGACTTCGCCTAATCTGACTGCATGCTGCCCGATGAGCATCGGACAGTCTGGCGGACGCGAAGATGCGTGGGTGGATATGTCGCGCAAAATGCGATCCTTGGTCGAGCCTTGCATCTCAGGCGCAGCGAGCGGCGACGCGCTTGCGCCCGACATACGAGTTGAACGCAAGCATTGGGCATCCGCATATGCAGCAGAAAGCAACTCTTTACAACTTCGAGTGAGTCATGTTCGCCGTATATAAGACAGCAAGGATGTTCAGACGATCTCGAAGTCCAATCTACGCATCCATAGCAGCCATTTCTGGCTGCTCCAGACGTACCAACCGAGCGTACTCCCCCAAGACGCCGCTGTTGAGGATTATGCAGGCAGACCTGCACGCAGCCGTGCAAGAAGAGTCATCCGTGGCCGAAAGCTCCTTCGTCATACGTACCAGCCCCTGAAAGCATACCCACCCACAAAATCCGACGTCTGCCCATCGGCGCATCCATTCACCTTCGCAAGTCTCTATGTTGAGATCGCGCCAAGCCGCGAGGAAGCCCTTCAGAATTTCTCAGAGGACACTGCGCCTCAGAGAATCTTTAGCGATGGCTCAATGCGTGAGGATGGAGTCGGATGCGCGGCAGTGCTGGAACGTTACGGACGACCCGGACGACGAATGAAGTCATTGCGCGCGTACCTCGGACACCGTCTCAACAGCTGTTGGGCAGAGGACGCTGGCCTAGCACTGGCACTGGAGCTTGCGCGACAACAGAGGAGACTTACTCGGTTGTCTGTTTATACGGACTGCCAGCTCAGCCTCATATCGATCCGACGATGGACTCTCCGTCGACTCCACCATCGCGCTGAGCCACCGCCTTTCACAGGTGTGATTTTGCAGGCGTACAAAGACTTAATGCATCGTCACCCGAGGGCAAGGGTGAAGATGATATGGATTCCTGGTCATTCGGGGGTGCCAGGCAACGATGCGGCTGATCGACTTGCGAGGTCGGCTGCATGCAGGGGCCAGAGCCCGGCTTCCAAGCTTCCTGCTGCACTGGAAAAGGTGATCGCGCGTGGGCCGTTCGAGCAGTGAGGCGGCCAAGCAGAGGAGATAGAGACCGTTGACAAGGTATAGACCCTGCTTGAAGCCAGCCCGTACATGTCATACAGTGAAGTCCTCCATGATGGAATGTAGTCGATAGCGAGCTCTCCATGTACATGTAATGTCGTATTTCGTGGCAAGGCGTGGGAAACATGATAGACCGGGTCTCGGCCCGGGCTCAACCTCACCAGCTCGCCGTTCTGTGATTCTAATTTGCTCGACGCTCTATCACGACCCACAGACTGTAGTGCAGTATCTACGCTTTTGTCAGTGATGTGAGGCACTCTGTCTCTGCTATGTGTGCAGGTTGTATGAGCTCATCGCTGAAGCATTGCCGTATCGCAGACGTCGACTGAACGGGCTGTTGGTCCTATCCTGCAAGAGCGTCGCATGCCACATTTTGCTCGACTTGCATTGTTCTCAAGGTACTGGCTACCTGTCTTCATCACTCGCTCACCCGTAACTACACCACATCACAACACATCACCTATCCGTGCATTTCGAGCCTCTGCCTGCTACGGTACTCCGCCAGAGCGAATGAGCGTTGTTCCGGAGCCGACTTCTGGTATACAGCAATTCTTATACCAACGCGCGAAATCTGCATCATCAGAGAAGAATGCTGTTGTGGCTGCGAAGAACCCTGTAGTCCATACCCTGCGTCGCGATCGTCTGACATCTGCCCATCTCATTCACCTCCCACAAGCAACACGTAGTGTCGACGTGATCTTTGCGGCAGGATCTGGCCGATCATCCTCCTCCCACATAGACAGACCTCCTGAGCGGAGCGACGACCCCGTCGGCATCCTTCCGTCCCCCCGCCACAAACATAGGGGCCAGAAGGTAAGGCTGCGCACACCCCGGCGACCCGAGGGATCTGGATTTCCCGCTGGATGGGGCTGCCTGTACTGGGTCCCCTTCTCCACTGGCGGAGGCGAGGTACGATATCGCGTTCTTGCACCCCTTCACGAGAATGCGAGAACGTGGAGCAAGGAGGTCCTGGAGGAAAGGTTCACCAATGCTGAGGACCTCTGCATACGTTCAGGAGTACCTTGGTCGTGCGGGCTTCTGACTTCTGAGATGAAGCGGATCTGTCGGAAGGACGGGTTGGTGGTCCAGGTACGAGTTCCCAGCAAGCGCTGTGCAAAGCCTCCTCGCGAGATTGGCCCAGGCGCAAAACTTGAAACTCTATTCCGCATCGGCCGTGCTGCCATACTGCCTCTGGACACCCAGTTCATCGTCGCGGACAACAACGAGGATGCACTCGTCTTACACAAGCTGGATATCGCTCCCCTCAAGGCGTACAGCGATGGCACACGAATCGACGGCAGAGTCGGCGCGGCTGCCGTGCTCGAGCACATAGGTGATGACGGTGAAGTTCATCGAGCCAAGAGGCATCTACATGTCGGCGGCGAGTCGCACTACACAGTACACGATGCCGAGATCGTCGGACTCAGCATCTCCCTCTCACTGGCTAACAAATAGTCCGTCATCACCGACTTGTCCCTGTACTCGGACAGCAAGGTCGCGCTGAATGCGGTCAGTGTTGCCGCTCGTCGCCGCCCTGGATGGAAGCTGGCCAACTTCGTCCTGAATCACTATGACCTGCTCTTGCGCCGTCATCCAACGGCGAATGTCATGTTTCGATGGATCGCCGGACATCGGGACGTTGCTGGGCATGGGATTGCGGATTGTCTTGCACGGGAAGCGGCTATTGGAGGATCTGTCGCTCGTACGATGGCCCGTGAGCTCGGACTGGACAATTACCTGCGCTGGAATCGACCGACCCGTAAACAGAGAGCCGCGAAGAAGGCTTCAAAACGACACAAACAAAGGAAGGAGGTCGAAGCTACGGAGTCGGGCGCGGACCCAGGCTGCATAGTGATGTAGGTAAGTATGCATTCGCGTTTGAATGCATACACATGTCTTCATATCTATCGCGGTACAGTGTTCTCCTTGGCTTCGCAAGATCTTCCATCCCATCTCCACTTGTTCATCTAGTGCATCGATCAACCGTGCCCTATCGACGCATCTGTGAATGAAATGCTCCCGTTGGCACGGAATTCCGTACAGATTCTGAGCCGTTGGGCCTTTGCCTTTAATCCGACCCTTTCAGGAGGCTTCCTGACGATCTCATACATTCGCTCTTCGTCCGACATCCATGGACAGACCTCTCGGGGCGAGCGCACCGGCGAACCTGCCACTGGGGTCCTTAGCGATATGAATGGCTATTTAGGGCTGAGCTCCTCGACGTCGCTCCCGTCCCTGAGCCTGATATTGCTTCCGGCCAAGCCGGCCTGGAGCTGAGTCCCATCGCACTGCTGGTTCTGAAGCAGCGTAAACGCAGCCCTATAATGACTACCCTCCGCCCTGATGGCCCGACGCCGGCAGACATCATACAATTGCCACGCGAAGCGCAGACGTTGACCATCCACTTCAAGCCTCTCCTAGAGATGGCGTCGACCGCCTCAGACCCAAGCGCGCGTGCAGCGTCCTACCACTTCCGCCTGCGCCCAGCGATGAGCCTAAGCCTCATGTGCCACACGAGGTCATCCTGCATGCGGCTTCCGGCGCGGGAGACTTGGAGGGGGTCAAGTTCCCTATGGGTCAGGCGTGCTTGTACTACGCGTCTCCGCGTCCGCCGCGCACGCGTCTTGCCGGCGAGGTGCGTCTTCGGCTGCTGCCGTCCCTCGACGACGACTGCAAGAGATGGACGGACCAGTCCCTGCGAGACGCGTTCGCGCGCGGCCGCGACTTGTGCGTGCTCCCGGCCAGCGCGTGGCGCGTGCCGCTGTTAACGGTCTGGGGCTATCGCGCGATCAGGCAGATGTTGCTGCACGAGGGCCTCGTCGAGCCGGCGGTGATGCGCACCGCGGAGAAGCTGGGGCGGACGTTCGGACAGCAGAGGCACGGCAGCAGGGTCATGCACTCGTTCGGACAGCGCTCTGTCGTGGACTCAGGCACGAAGCGCCACCGGTTCTACTTCCTCTGCGAGGGGCTGCTGTGTTCGCACGTAGTGCGAAACCTGTGCTCTTGGAACCAGCGCGGGGCGAAGGAGGCGTACCAGCCGTTCTGTGATTGTAGATATTCACGGAATCACGAGCGAGGACTCACTGTGCTGTGATAGTGAGATTGATATGCTCGTTCGAGCTTTCGACGTATCTCGGCCACGATGGAGGGCGGTTTGTCGTGATGCGCGTGCTCAACGCCTTGGCTTCGGTCCGCCACGATGCACGGTACTCGGAACCGCAGGATATCCCTCTCCCTCGTGCCGAGACTCTGCTTGCGCGGGAGGTCCGTTGACGGGCAGGCCATAGGTCGATCGATACGCGTAGAGAGGAGCGGTCGTGGATGGTGTGGTCTGCGAATGTCGATATTGTGTTCAGGGGAATGCGCACGCTGTTTGAGAACGAACCGGGAGTGCGGCCTGTGAAAGACGGGAACGGCCGGAGACAGATAGGGCGGGAAGGCTCTTCGAAAACGGAGAAGTCTTGTGATTAGCGTTCAGGTGGTCGCGTTCGCTGTGTTGGCGATGTCACCGCTGATACTGATCATCTTTGTGCCAGTGCGTTAGCGGACTCGCTATTCTGTGTTGATGATACTGGGTTCGGGGATCGTTGAATACTCAGTGCGTACGTGATCGGGTGCCATATGTGTTGAATTCTGTAGCCCAAAGTATGAGGCGCCTCACTCGGGGAGATGATGGAACGAGTGAGTTTCATTACCTGTAGCCCAAAGTATGAGGCGCTACAGGACATAGTGAGTACGGTGAGTATGTGGGTAACGCGAGAGACGACGTACCCTCACTCGGGGAGATGATGGAACGAGTGAGGGACGTTGGTTATGTGACGGGTGCTAGTATAGTGTGAACGGGAGATGCCGGCCTACAGCGCCTGATGCGTGAAGCGTGAACTCGTGAACTCTAACACTCCTCCTCGCTGTAGAGACGGGATCGTAGCACGTAGGTAAGGAAGTAAGAATGTCTGATAGGTATAGTGTAAGATTAGAACTTAGAACAATGCATGAGAGTAGAAAGTTAGGAGAGAAACCAGCGCGGAGGAACACTCCTCCTCGCGTCGATGTCAGGGATCAGGTAAGACCGAGGAACGAACGCAAACGGGAAAACTGCGGGCCAGGTAACGGCTTGGTGAAAATG